TACATCCATGAAAGAAATAGTCTGTGGTTTCTGATGTTGTTCCTAGATAAATTAGAAAATTTAACCCCACTCAGTTGTCTGGAGAAAAATACAACGAAAATTCAGAGCATATATTGCTTGTTGTGCATGTTGGACTGAAACATATCTTATCCAGAACTAAACCATTTCTTAAGGTTCTTTCACATAACTAGCCTTGTTAAGAGGATTATCTCATATTTTGTTTAATGGAATTGTAGATGGACTCATATTTTTGTGAAATGGATTTGAAGGCACAACTCGATATCCAGTTGTTCCTGTTCAACACCGTTATGCTTTATTATAATTGAGAGTTTCGCTTACTAGTTGTCATTTGAGGAAGCTTCAAGTTTGTCGTACGTGGTCCATTGGCGCTCGGCTCCTAAGTACTTCGAAAACCTAATGGTTTTGCTCATTGGATTGTGCTTCGCACACCTCCATTTAATGTAAGGGGAGAATGACACTAGAAGTGTCAAAAGCTGTGTATAGCGCTCACTTTAGTGCCAAAAGTTTGTTTCGGATCACTTAAGTGCAACTTTAAAAAAAAAACGATCACTTAAGTGCCAAATCTGATCCAGATTGCCGGAAATCTGACGTGGTAATATTTTATTAATTTCTTGATCCTACGTGGCTCGCCGGCGTGCCTAGTTAGCATATAACTCATAAACGATCTCGTCTAAAAGTTGTGAATAGTGATCGTTTGAGTGCCAAATTTTATTTAAAGTGATCCCTTCACTGCTACTTGTTATTAAAAACCGATCACTTCAGTGCCAGTTGGATTGTGCGACGTCGTTTTGGATGTCCACGTGGACTGAATATTAAAAAAAATGTCAAGTCATATTAAAAAATTTAATTATAAATGCCATGTAATCAATTTGGCTGGAATTGGCACTTAAGTTATCGCTTTTTCTCCGATTTGGTACTTAAGTGATAATTTTTTCTTCGATTTGGCACTTAAGTTATCCAAAAAAAACTTTTGGCACTAAAGTGAGCGCCGTACATAACTTTTGGCACTTCTAGTGTTCTTCTCCTTGTATAAGTCACAACAACCAGGAACGTGAAAGTTTTGCTAGGTATATGAAGTAGTGAAACAGTCGCCCAAGAGATTATCAATCTATAAAACAATCTTACAAAAGACCTGCGAAAATAAAATGAGACACTTCAACCTCGAAATTTGACATAATGTATTACAAATTCTTCTAGGATAATGACCAAAATTACAGCTGCTCTTTTTTCTTTTTGGCAACCCAAGGGCGGTATGTATACATGATCACCCTGATGATTTCTTCAAACACTTTCTTCACCCAATCACGGGCCTATATGAAATCAGACTATTTATTAGGTTAGCACGTTCTTTTGATGATACCATTTCCAGATCACACATCTCGTTGATCTGGGAAGCAATATTTAATGTCAGATAACAACCTTCCAAGTTCTGAATTCTACATAGTTTAATGTTATTGCACACTGATTTCACATTTATAGACATTCGGTTGAGGCATGAATCCGGTTATCCTCATCGCGTCATATGAGAGAGAGAGAGAGGTAATGATTTTTTATTCGAAATCAGTCATACATGAGGTACATAGTTTAATTATGTGTCTAAAACAACCGCATATGGAAATAATATTAAGCTTGTAAGTCTCACGACTCTAGCTGTTTTGTGTAACTTATATTGATCGTAGATTCATTTACTGTTGTCGAACCAATACAGCGCCTGGAGGTAGTCAACAGCCTTCTTGTCCACTTGGAAGGCCTTGGTGAGAACATCAGCAGAGACAGGTGGCTTCGCTCCAAAGACGGCATTAGCAATGGTAATGGCTCCTGGGTTCTGGCTGCTAAGACCGGAAAAGGCCAACGCGTATGTGTTTCCGATATTCAACTCGAAGTGGATGAGACCAATAGGGAAAACAACCATGTCCCCCTTGTACAGGACTTTGGTGAAGAGAGTATTGTTTAATTGGTTGGAAGTGACGAAGCCAACAAGTAGCGTACCCTCCACCACAACCAGAACCTCGGTGCCACGGGGGTGAGTATGGGGAGGATTTAGGCCACCGGGAGCAAAGTCAATGCGAGCCATGGATATTCCAAGAGTGTTGAGTCCCGGAAATTGGTTGACGAAAGCCTGTGTGACTTTTGATCCAAGCGGATTTGATGTGTTTCCAGGAGTCCTAAACCCCATGAAGAGGAAATCATCAGCTGTGGTTTGTTTCGGGTCCTTGCAGAACTTTCCATTCACAAATACTGCATAAGAAAAAGAATCCGTGTTTCAGTTTCGGCATCATAAGCCAGATATGAAAGACAAGAATAATGCAAGAATCAAGAACCAACCTCCAGAGTCCTGGTCATTGGTGGCCACGCATATGTCCTGAAGAGGACTCGGGTCATAAGCAAAAGCAGTGGCAGTTGCCAAAGCCAAGATGAGAAAGCTAATGGGAAGAAACTTCATTGTGGTTGTGGATAGGAGTTGGGGCCTTGATCTCACGAGACTGGTATTGCTTGAGGGAGGAGTGAGGGCTTGCATGGCAACATCATCTCTCTTTATAGATGAAAATGTTTGACCCAGTATTTAGTTTGCCCTGCTGGTTTCCCTGCAGATTACCAAGTCTTCAGAGGTTTTATCTATCTTCCCCTTTTCAAGTCCAAGGAAGAATTGACTTTATAACAACTACGACGACTTGGCGATTTGTTCGATTTCCTCTCCTCCAACTAAAGAATGCACATCACCTGATATGGAAATGGTTTTTGATGAATTTGACATCCTTGTACCGTTTCTTCTTCATTTCATTTACAACTCTTTAGCATATCTCAAAGAAGATTACCAAGTAAAGAACACTTCTAGCGCAAGGTTTTACTATCTGGAAAAGATTGAATTTATCTAGTTTGCAGAGCTTATAAGACATGTCTTACTCGAGGATTAAGGGTGCAATTCGAGATATACTTTATTCACCAAGTTGCCCTGCAGATTACCGAGTCTTCAGAAGTTGTATCTATTTTCCCCCGTCTCAAAGTCCAAGGATAACTGCTCTATAACAACTACGATGACATTATTTCTTTGGTTTCCACTCCTCCAGCTTAGAGAACGCACATCATCTAATACGGAAAAGGTCTTCGATCACTTTGTACATCTTTGTACTGATTCTTCTTCGCTTTTCTTGTAAAAAAACAAAAGCGCTCTAGCATCATCTCAAAGCAGCATGATCAAGTAAAGACCATTTCATCTGCGCGACAATCTCGTATCTCGGAAAGATTGAATTGGTTATCTTGATTGTGAAAGGAGAACAATATCCATATATTTAAATATTATATCACTCCCCCTTACACTTAGTCTGGTCTTTTCGCCTGGTCTAGACGTGGATATAATTAATTGGGGAGGTAAATAGGGGCTTGGTAAGATTTGAACTCAGGAGCTTCTGTTCTAATACCATGTGAAAATTTGTGGAACCATTGCCAATTGTTCCAAAAGCTTAACCTTTTAGATGAAAGTGTGATTTAATATTTAAATATTCAATCAATATCAATATATTTAAATATTCTAGTTGTGAATAATGAAGCGGAATAGAGAATCGTAGAATTTTCTGTATATTTCAATATATCATAATGAGGATTACATCAGTCTATTTATAGGCTTTACAATTGAGAATAAAGAAGTGGAATAGAGAATAGTGGAATTTTCTGTATATTTCAATATATTGATAGATAGTACATGAGCCTATTTATAGGCTTTATTAGATAACTATCTAAGATAACATACCAATCAAGATATACGCACAATCTTGAGAGACACGAAGAATCAACAAAATTATCAAAATATCTCTAACATAGGAAATTATTCTAGAGAAATCCCTAATTATCTCTAACAATCCACGTCCATCTTCATCCTAAAAATATTCTTGTTATGGATATTCCCGTGTTTGGCACCAAATACCATAGTTCTTAACATTTACTTGATTGCAATCCACTCTTTCTTCGCACAAAAATAAATAGATAAGTACTTCAGCATAAACAATAAGATACTGTTCGTATCCCCAGCTGCCACTTCTCTGCAGCCAAATGGAAAGAAAGTCATAGTTCGACTTTGCTTATGAGCATTTAATGATATTTCAGTGGCTTCCTCCAAAGCTCATAAGACATGACTTAGTTGAGGATTAAGGGTGCAATTATTTCTTTGCTACGCTGGTCGTGTGATCTACTAAGTTACCTTGTTCTGAAACTAAGATTCTGATGGTTTTTGAAGTTTGTCAGATTAAGTGCCCAGAAATCTGAAACAAAGGGGTGTTAGTGAAGCATCCGATGAGTTCTAGTGGGCTTTCACCGATAAGCCCACTTACATCTCTCTCCACTCTCATCTTCACTTTACTTATCAGAAAAAAAAAAAGAGGGGCGAATTAAGTATAAAGAATTCGTATCCCCACATTTCTCTGGTGGCCATTTGTATTCTAATTGAAGTTGTAATGTTGATAGCATCGAGACAGGGTGATGCTAAACATATCTCATTCAAGGTTTTGATGGTGACCTAAAAACATGCATACACCTCAATATGACGTCGAACCCGGATTCATTTCACACTCCAGGATTTGAGCATGTGATGGGTCATTCTTGGGGAAAACAAAGTCAGCTGACTCGAGCAGGTTTAGATAAGCCTTCCCTTCAACCAGGCATTTCAATTTTCTATTGTCAATGAAAGGCCACTGTAGAAAACATCTTTCGTTTCGGATCACTTGCATGAGAAAACTGAAATAGCATTTCAAAATCGTAAAAGATTGACAAATAGTAATTCGCATCAAGAGCACTGTAAATGTCCTTGTACTTTTTTCGTTAGTTTTCCTTTTGTTCTCGTTCTGACATTAGAATTGCTCTATTACGTCATTTATTACTTATGTGAAAAGAAAAATGTTCGAGAGGATATTAAAGATTCAAGTGGACATTCTGATACTCACAACTTCCATGCCATGCTCACGCACACATAAACCATCATCTTCATCCACTAATAAAGCACATGCTTTATCCACTAATATTTTTCATCCTTCGGTGCTTTTCATATTGTTCCATCCAAATATAGCATAAGAGAACCGGCTAAAATAAACACAACTTTTACAGCTTTTCCTAGCTATCTGAGTCTCTAACAGAACAAAGACCAAGGATCACAAAATGAAAGAACATTCGATACAGGAAGTAGCTAAGATAGTCGAGGAAGCCATTACAATTGCATCCAGTAAAACACCATGCACTTCCTTCTTTGAGGAAGTCAAATAATTATAAAAAAGAACTGCAAGCATTGCATGCTCAAACCAAGCCATAAAGACGAAAATTCACACCTGGAATTCTTCCATATCGAGCCATCCGTTCCATTTTACCGGCAACAACCATAAACCCTCCTCTCCTGTTCATGTACTGTCTAGGCTGCCGCTTCGTCGCAGCCCTAAAGGCGCTCACATCCACTCTTGGAAGCACCTTCCCCCTCGTCGAATCAAACCCAACTGGAATTCCTAACTTCATCATCCTCCACAGCTGCCTCCGCTCCTCCACCGCTACCATCTTTCTCCTTCTTGCTCTGCTGCTCCTTCACGATTCCATCAACAAAGTCCACTGTGTCTGGGAGCACGCATGGCAGGATCATCAACAACAAATTTATGGACAATCCCATCAATCTAAATGAAACTCCAACCAGAAACTGTGACTACTTTGTTTTCCTTCATAGTTTTCCTCAGCAGCAAAACGTCATCCCAGTTGCCCATCTTAGCGTACATATTGGCCAGAAGGATATAGCGTCCACTATGTTGAGGTTCTAGTTGGATCAAATGCCTGCCGACTTTCTCTCCTAACTCAACATAGCCATGCATGATACACCCATTTAACAAAGATGCCCAGATTGCACCATCTGGTTCCATTGTCATATTCTTTATCAACACACCAGCCTCTTTGATTTGTCCAGCCCGAGCCAAGAGGTCGACCATGCATCCATAGTGCTCAATAGTTGGAGCAATGCTGTAAACTTTGCTCATACGTCCAAACAAGCACCATGCTTCGTTGATTAGGCACTTCTGATTGCAGGCCATCAGAGCTCCAATTAATGTCACAGCATTTGGTTTAGGACCCCTATGTTCCATTTCGTAGAAAAGCCGCAGCCCTGTTTCATTCTCACCATTAACAGCAAACCCCAATATCATCGCACTCCAAGTTGTCACATCTTTAATAGGCATTTGGTCAAACACTTTTTGTGCGAATCTGACGAACCCACATTTGACATAGAAGTTAATCAATGCAGTGCCTAGCTCAAGTTCGTAATCGATGCCATTCTCATCTATGTACTTATGAATCCATTTTCCTTCTTCAGAGGCTCCCACAATGCCACAGGCGCTAAGTACGCTAACCAAAAGAGATCCACTTAATTTCACGTCAGCACGATCTTTAACCTCAGAAAACAACTCGATGGCCTCATCAAACCGCTCATTCCTAACGTAGCCAGAGATCATGGCACTGTAGGAAACATCATTTTTCTCCGGCACTGAATCGAACAGTCCTCGAGCTTCATCAACGAGGCCGCTGCTACAGTACCCAGTCATAAGGCTCGTCCAGCAAACTACGTTCCTCACTGAACTTTGTTCAAACAGGCGGCGGGCAACACTCACAGCTCCATGTTTACAGTACATGCTTATCAGAGAACTCACCACATACACATCACAATCATGCCCGAACTTCATGGCGCTACAGTGAACCTGGCCAAGCAAAGGAAAGCCAGCGCATGACCTGACCAGCGCAGTGAAAGTGCGGGCATTGGGCTTGACGCTTTCCCTGCACATTCGAGCGTACACCGACACGGCCCTCCCGTGTTCGAGGTCTCCCAAGAAACCCATCATCATGACATTGAAGTCGAAGACGCCGGGGGCCGGAATGCGAGCGAATACGCTCGCCGCGTAGCCCATGTCCCCGTACGGCGCGAGGGCAGAGCAGGCCAAGATTTTGCTCGCGGTGAACGCGAAGCGAGAGAGGCCGGAGATGATGGCGTGGGCATGGATTTGCTTCAGGTGGTCAATGGTGGAGCATCTCCGGAGCAGAGCCAAGTACTGGAAGTTGGCGAGACGGTTGGTCATGCAAGTGATGTCTGGTTGGTTGGTTGGCTAGTTTGTGGGGTCTTAAAAGAAGCGTACGAGGTTGAACGGGTTTATACTACTGTCCGATGCTTAGTTTTGATCTTTTAAAAGCATGAGCTATTCATATACTCTGATTTGAGGCTGAACAAGTTCAGTTTTGTCTAATGTTTTAGTCCGGGAAAAGTGTTAGAAAAGTCCTAAACCTTTTGCATTTATGCAAATTTAGTCCTAAACATTTTCTTTGTATTAATTAAGTCTAAAATTTTTATCATTGTGCCAATTCAGTCTTTCCAGTTAATTTTGACCGGATATTGCTGACGTGGACGCCTGCCGGTCTACATGGTACGACCGAGGTCTACGTGGTACGACCGGTGCTGACGTGGATAATTTTTAATAACATTTTAATATATTATTGATTTTTATTATTTTTTTCCTTTTTTTCTTTTTTTTACATCCTTTCTTCTACCTTTAGCCGGTGACTGGACACTAGCCATGGCCGGCTGCTTGGCCTCGCCTAGGTGAGGTTGCTCACCACAGGCGAGGCCCGGTGAGGGTCGGCCTTGCCCAGGCTAGATCTGGCGAGGCCGACCCTTGTCTGGGCAAGGGTGATGCCTGGTGAGGGTCGGCCTTGCCCAGGCTAGATCTGGCGAGGCCAACCCTTGTCTGGGCAAGGGTGATGCCCGGCGAGGTTGGCCCTTGCCCAAGCTAGGGTCGGCCAGGCCTTACCTATGATGGGCGACAATGGCCTCTTCCGGGCGACGGCAGCCTCGCCCAGGCAATGGCAGCCTCGCCCAGGCAAGGCCAAAGGTATAAGAAGGAGGAAAAAAAAGAAGGAAAAAAAGAAAAAAATCAGAAAAAATATTTTAAAAATAAAAAATATAATTAAAAATTGTCCACATCAGCAATTTCCGGCCAAAATTAGCTAGAAATATTGAATTGGTACAAAGACAAAATGTTTAGGACTCAATTGGCACCAAAAAAGGTTTAGAACTAAATTAGCACCAATACAAAAGGTTTAGGACTATTCTACTTTTCCGTTTTAGTCTTAATCCCCATTTGAGAAGCTGATGTGTTCATAAGTGGCGAACCAGAAAGAACATCGTCCGGACGGAAATTCAGATCAGAGAGGCATTAAATAATTCGCTCATCTAATTGAAGTCGTAATAACGAAGGTCGGGAATGAGTTTTGTGATTTGATTACTTGAATAAAAAAGATGCAAACGGATGTTCTTCAAATTGCAAAACGATAAAAGTATAACTAATCGAAAGTCGCCTGAAAACTATGTGCAATTATTAGTAAAGAACCAAGATGACATGATCTCCAATTTTAATTTCACCAATGTCATCAATCATCACCAGGAGCATTCAACTCATTCGTAAAAACCGAACCATTTATCAAGCATCTTTTGCACCAATCACCCTCAATGGACTAATAATGTGGTGTCGTCAAAAGGTGTCTTCAAAATGCATTTGAAGAGTCACATTGACCTCGATGCCTTACATGCTTTATATCATATGCATTCTCGATGGGTGAATCGTGTTCTTTGCTAATTGCCTGCGGTTCCTGGAGTGTCATTTCGAGTAAACCCAAGAATTCGTGCATTTCATCGAACACTTGCAAACTCACGAGCATCGTCGTTCTTTTAGATCCAAAAGAAGATGTATTATCTCAGTGGAGTTAACCAACCATCAACAACACTAATATCGAAAACCAAGATTTCCTGCATGTTCAGCTCATTAAACTCTCTGAAACAGAAGGTTGAATCTGGTCACCACAAAAGGAGAGGGAAAAAAACACAAGGGTGGAAAGGACTCAAGACAGGAGATGGGAAGGTAGGTCCTGTAACCATCTTATCCAAACGTTATAAATCACTCAAAATTTTAGCAGGATCATCCTGCCTCTCTCCAAAAAATGCATATATATACCAATACTATTACATCGTTAACTACTTGAAATAGAAAATTACATTTGACCGCTGAATATGGAAAAGCATGAGTAGTGCAGTGCATAACTAGCTATGCTCCTAAATATGAGCCAGGCCAGAAGTTGTATTATGAAAATCTTTTGGTGCAGCTCATGCCTGCCACTGATCAAAACCGAGATTTGCGCTTGCGAGCTGTATACTTTGAGTCAGGAGGCACCACATTCCCTTTTCTCCTCATCTGTTCTTTCTTTTTCATAACCCACTCTCTTCCCTTGCCTCTCCTATTTAGTTTCTGTTTCTTCCTTGGCCGGTGCCTGTCAGACACACTAACCTGCATTTGAAATGATTGAAATGAGAGAAAAACGAGAAGACAATCAGCCCCGTCAATATTTGATGAGAACACTTGACACGAGAGAGAGAGAGAGAGAGAGAGAGAGAGAGAGAGAGAGAATTCTTAAGCAAACCCACATATAGAATGAGCCTAAAAAAGAACAAAGAGAAACAAAAAAAAAGAAACAAAAAATCCAAATTAGATATGCAAATCCATGTTTAGAACAAGTCTAACATAATATTCAACTATAAAATTTGCAAACTCACTGTTTGATTGTCTTCATCACCACTGCTATCATCGGAAGAACTCTCCCCATCTTCCCCTTTTCCCTTTGGTACGGCAGTGCCAACGGATGGTGGCCCACAAGTAAGCACAAGGTATTCTTTCCTGCTCTTCGAGCTGTTTTCAATAATGATTTCAAGGTTAGTTCATTTTTCTTCAATAAAGTTCTCATAAAGGCATCCAACCAAATTACTGTGGCAGTGCTCAGCCTTTATCCAGAACAGTCGGATTCTTATCACATACAGTCTAAAGCACTTATGCTGCAACAGAAGCATATGAAAAATCTATTGTTGAATAGCACATCTCTTGCTCGAACTTGTCATTAGACAGTCCCTCGAAGAAAACAGAAAAGGAAAACCTGCCTTCACAAATAACAAGCAACTCTGGACATGATATTGATAAGAATCTCTACATAATCCTGGACCAACTTTATAAGCTCGATTTTGCCAATCATAGTAAGCAACATCACCCCATTAGTAAGAGGATGAACAAAGAGAGATTGTCATGTAACAGCTAAAGTGTATTATGCACACATTTGATAATTTCACAAAAAGGATGTCACCTATTTAAGGAATAAACTACTAAGATTATTGACAGTAATTTCACAAAAATTTATTTATGTTTTGATAGGTAAACGAAAAATTTATTAAAGGGCACCAAGGGGGTGGAAATATACAAAAAGAGCTCAGAACTAAAAGTGCTCAATTACAAGACAAATCATCTACTATGTTAATTAGAGCATTTCCATCCACACACAATTTTCCAACTTCCAATAATTACAAAAAAGGGTGTTTCTCTCCAATGAAAGCTCTCTTATTCCGCTTTCAGATATTTTACTTTCACAGATGACTTTCAAACGACAGCATAGATGCTAAGATATGCACAAAATATGTTGTTCAATCAATGTCGAACACTGAAATAAGTGCTGGTAATAATATAGGTACCTGTGTGGGAAGTCAACCACCACACCACCTGCGAATCCAGCACGCATAGCAGAACTCAAAATCAACTCACGCTGAGCTATACTCTCTGGATAAACTTGAAAAACTGCTCTTGCCCCCCTTGCTAAGCATCTATATAATGATCCAAAAAATGCCCTAAAACAAATCAAGACAGATGTCAATTATAGGCCAGCCAAATAGGGACTAGAAGTTCTGCAAGAAAGAAAAGCAGAAAAGGAAAACTTCTTTATTATTTAAGAAAATCAACCAGATATCATCCAAATGATGAAGAACATACTTCAATCTTAACCGTGGCTCGTGAGAGGACTTATCCGCATTGCATAACCACTGCATGAAAAACAGAAGTGGAATCAACAAACTACGGAAAAGAAACCCAAAAACATTCTAAGTTGCCAAGTGTAGAAACACATTAAAATTTCCAAAGAGTATTGCAAATTACAAATTAAGAATGTTTACTGTGAAAAATTAATGCACTGTAAGATAAACAAAACATGCAGAAACAATATAACAATTACACAATGTTTATCCCCAGGGATCATTCCTTCAGTCCTTCAAACCCAACTATGCGCAAGTTCTAATTAACATTTCATGTGCACACCTTTACCCCCTGAAGTATCCACTAGACAACAAGTATCACCTCATTCTGATGGTATCTAACTGACAGATAAAGGGGGTAAGAGAGAGAGAGTTGAATCTGTTGAACATGAACCGCAGCAGTAGCCACTGCTTTATATCTCTGCAGGGAACTTTTCAGAGTTGATTGCGAACTAGCTGCTTCATCCTATCCATGTGGCCACAAGATAGATGCAAAATCAACTATATTAACAGGCATAGGTTCGATATATAATGATTTCTAGTGAAAGCAAGAGCTTAGGATGCTAAGGATATACAAATGCAGCTGCAAATGATTTAGGGGGCAGAATGCCGGCAAATCTTGAATTTAATGTTATTTTTTCAAACATTATACAAAAAATGAAGCTACTCTCATGGGTATTCAACTAGAAACTACATATTTAGAAAAAAAACAAGTAGTTGTCCTGAGCACAAAGAAATAATCAAATATTTGTTCAAAGAAACACCATTCCTATTCTTGCACATCAACATAATTACGTCCAGCATCACAATAGACGTAATATTCTTCCAGATGTTCCACATCTAGATGTAAAAGACCGAGCAAGACATGTCTGCATCCACATGTTGTAACTATATAAATTAACCTGAATACCAGTGCTAAAGCCCATCATATATCATATTGACACCAGTTCCTTGTCCATACGCCAAAAACTTGACAATTAAACATACAATTTATTTGGTGACACATGCTTACAGATTTCAACTAATTGCACAATGAATTATCAGTTGATGTAACATCTATTGTAGCCTCCTTTACTATGCAGAACAGTCTTACCTAACATCTTACCAAGCAAATTAACATAGGGCCCGTTTGGTTCGGCTTTTCAAATGCTATTTGGGGGAATGCAAATACCTTTAGGTGAAAGTCACTTGGGAAAATGCAAGTGGTGTTTGGTAAAAAAAATTTGTAAAGCTACTTTGGCCTAAGTAGTGTTTAGTAAATTTTTTTTTGCAAAGGGCTTTGACAACTTTTATTTTTAATATTCCAGTTTTGCCCTTATACTGTTTATCTTCTTCACCGGTGAGGGTGGCCGGTGAGGGTGGCCGGCGAAGGGCCAACGAGGGCGGATCCGGGCGGTGAAGGGCCGGCGAGGTCACCCGACCCCAGGCGGCCGTCGCCTGGGTCGGGCGACCTCGCCGGCCCTTCGCCGCCCAGATCCGCCCTCGCCGGCCCCTCGCCGGCCCTTCGCCGACCACCCTCGTGGTGAGGAAGATGAACAGTAACAGGGGCAAAACCGGAATATTGAAATTTGAGTGAGGGCAATTTGGGAAGGGAAAAATAGGCTTCAGCATTCCAAATGTTAGCTTTCGGCTTTTCGAATCCGAAAAGCCGAACCAAACGGTTCAGCATTTGGCCAAGGGGCTTTCGAGGCCGAAAGCCCCTTCCAAATGCTGAACCAAACGGGCCCATAATCAGTCCTCCTTTAAAAACGATAGTCTTCAGAGAAACTTTGGTTAGATCCATTGCCCAAGTACCTTATCATATCCTCTAAAATATTTTAGCTGGATTGAAACAATATTACTTGAGCATGACCAGAGAAAGTTTCTTGTTTCATAGTCTGAAATAAGTGTGCTCTTTTCGGTACTTACACTAAGGAACCCAATAATAAAGAAGCTCAACTGCTATTTGCTACTTTATGCACTATGATGTGTGAGAATAGCAATTCTGCAGGTCTTAATGAAAATTAGTTCCATTAAGATGCAAGAAGAGAACTCCTATAGAATAAAATCATTAAAATGATAATCAATATAACGGACCCAATAAAGTGAACCTGAACAGCAGAGATACTGATGGCTCCATCAACAACACCAGGTCTAAGTCCCAAGCCCTACAACACAAAATTCACAATAAACCCAATGGCAAAGAAATCAAGTGTATGCAGGATGATCGATCCCATCGAATGTGACAATTGACAAGGCCCAGTACTATATGCCAGTACAAAGTTCTTGAAAAATAGAGGAAGCATTCAAGCATGCATGCACATATACTCCACAACAGCCGCCATCACATTGGTGTTGCATGTGTTACAATTCTGGCAAGCCTGTCAATCATCTTCTGATTCACTGTCAGGTGTCTTTTGCTATTCAGACTAGGGTTCAAGAAAGATGGAATCGCCTGGGTCATGCTAAAAAATGGGACAGAGACTCTCAATGGAAATGGCATAGAGAAATCCAATCCACTAAGAAAACTTCAAAATCCCTCCGTATCGAATATGCAGAACTTATGGCTTGGAAGGAACATAATGAATCTTGAAGGCTTGAAATCAAATCAGCAATAGTTGAATAGGCTTGCCTAATAATTCCACAAAAAACAAATTAATTGTTATTAGGCCTTTTATATTGCTTTTCTGTTTTTTTTCTGTTGTTACTTTCCAATTTATATAGTTCATGGATACTCAATGAATAACTCGTCCTATTTCAATAAAACGCCTAATAGTAACTAAAGAGAGAAAAGATTGGCCGCTAAAAAAATTAAAGGTGAAGTATGAGAACGAGTCCATTGCCGAATTTCCTCAGTTTCAGAGATAATACAGTTCAAAAAATTTAAACTGGTCAGTACCTGACCCATGTCGCCAAGCAAAAGATCACCTTCTGCCTCTCTCTCCAAAGCGATGTCTACATTTGAACAGGCAAATGGAATATCAAAATATGAGCAAACTAACAATCCCTTAAATCAATAGGTATCGACGTTAACATACCAAGCATTGATGGCGAAATGTCCAAACCAATCCACATGTGTCCATTTTCTGATATCGTCTCCCCACTCAATCCAGATCCGCAACCTAGAATGACCCAAATGTCAACACAACATGATCAACAATCAAAACTCTCCAGGTATTACAAACACTGCTCATGAGCGAAAAAGAGAAAAAGAACAAGTAGAAAAGAAGAGAGAAGTATTCTCATCAAGCATGTGCTGTTATCAAAGCTAAGAAATACAACTGAGTTGATCGGTTCTTCATGCCTAAAGACCTAAAACAGAAGATGCAAGACCCCGGCAAGCAAGTTGACCCTGTCTCTTCATCAAGCCAAAAGTTTACCCAATGGACAGGAGATACTCTTCAATACTCCAGACAGAAGTTCCAATCATCAGTCACCAACATTAACAATTTATCTTTGCACAAAGGGACGTACTTCGGTCAAAGACATTGTAGTCACACTAGAGACAAGTTCCCTCACCGTTACATCAATCTCCACGAATGTCAATCCAGTCCACATTCCCCTCAACATGAACACACGTACAACAACACTTTCAACTCAAATTCAAGCACAACTCACTCAGCACTCGCGGAAGCAAGAGGGTATACCAATATCAAGGAGTAGTCTCGGAACTCCGTCGTCCGGCAAAGCAAGAAGCTCCAACGCCCTCTCCGACAGCTTAGCCTATTTTTCAAACCGACAAAACCGTAAACAACCACGTTGGTCAGAAAAAAAACACGACCCGTAACGCAATTACGCGAGGAACGTATACGTTCAAACTGCACGGACCTGAATTTCGATTATACGGGAAGAGGAAGTGTACTTGCGAGCCTCGACGTCGTTGTAGAATATCTCAGGCGGCGCCTGTACTTCCGGTCGAGAAGCCATCAGCAGAGCGACCCAGAAGAAGAAGCTACTCGCGAACGGAGTTCGAGGTCGGACGTTTGCAGCCAAGCACCGCCGGCAGTCGCCGACCGACCGTCGTGAGCGTGCGTCTGAAGAGAGAGAGAGAGAGAGAGAGAGAGAGCGGCGGCGGCTGAGGGGCCGAGACGGCGGCGGAGATACGGAAGGGAAAGGGCAACTAGGGCTTTTTTCTGCTGGGGAACTAATGAACTCGGTGTCTATAGTAATTTTTACCTTTTTTTCGGATTTTGAGGGGCAACCTTTAATTTTTTTTTATTTAATAAGACTCCTCTTAAACATTATTTTAAAATTTCGACCAAAATAAAACTTTGTTTTATAATAAGTTTCGAGCGGCGCTATTTCCACCTTTATTTGACTAAATCTATCATTCGAGAGCAATTTAAATTGGTGGTCTCAAATTTGTTTATTTTCCTTTTTCTGTTAGTTTTTCTATATCTATGTAGGATCTATCTATCATAATTAAGAATTTCATATTCTTAGTTTTTGTTTATTGTATATTTTCCATATATATTAAAGGCACTATTTTTTTCATTGTTAGGTACTATTTTCATAAAAATTTGTTTTGTCGAAAAGAGAAATTTATAAGAAATCTACTTCTTTTCTACATGTTGTCGATCAAATTAATAGATAAATTGTTAAGTAGATGAAATTTAATTAAATCAAAACAATACATAAAGTAAGAATTTGTTTTTGAAAATGACAGTGAAATATTTGATAACTCTATAAAAATAGAGTTATTTTACCTATTTTAGGCAACAAATAATGCAATATTTGTAAGAAAATATTTGGATTTCCTTCTATTTACTCAAATTTTTCTAGTTTATGCAGAATAATGAGACAAAGAGAAAATAAGGAAAAAAAATGGCAAAAAGAAGGAAAGAAAAACGCAACCTAGAGAAGAGTTAGAAGGTGGATACCAAATTAAGAATTTTGCGATTTATTCCGTAATTTTACGCGAAAAATAAGCAATTACCTTATGTTAGGAGTCTTGGATGTTATCATAAAAATATGATAACATTGAGAGAGAGCTAGTTTATTTTATCGTTTTTGTTTTCATTGTTCTTGGAGTTTTTCAAGTATTTTGAAGAGAAGACACGGAATGGTAACAGAATTCTTGTTTTTTGATTTAAGATGTTGGGTTTAATTTATATTCTCATTTGTTCTTCTATTATGTTCTAATTTTCTTTTTTTAGGGCTACAATATAACCTAACCACGATGATATGAATTTCATGATTTTTTATGTTTTTGCAGGTGATTTCATTCTATATATTATTATGCTTAATCCCTTTAAGTGGCCACCATTTAAATGATCTAATGTGCATATTTGAGACTAAAAAGTGATAATATATAACGGCTTCTTATAATATATAACTATGAATTAAATATGGATAGAGGTATACCATATTATTTGTGTGGCTTCCGGTGATAAGGTGGTCCAAAAGATTTATTGTAAATCGGGAATATTCACAAATTTTAATGCACTTATGTTTATTTAAATTCACATAGAAATATAGTGGATTGAAAAACTGAATAGGTTAGAGATATGATAGTAAATAAACTAGGAAATTTCGTCATCACATGTTTAATATTGTTCTTGTATGTATAATGATATGAAGTTCAAATATAGTGGTTATTGTGAAATCGAATGCTTTAACATATTTATTTGATTGAATAACTTGCCTTTTGTTTCTAAAATTGTTAATTTTCTTTTATTCTCAATTCTATTTTGATATGTTAGATAAATTTTAAAATTAGTCCATTTTTAATATTTAATTGGTTTATTAATATCAATCTCTCTAGGACTATACTCTTTTTATCATTATATTACTTGTTCAACACGTTTGTTGACACGTTCATTTGCATTTACAATTTTTACAAATAATATTATTATTTTGGATAGACAAAAATTAATATCATCTATGTACTATTTACAAAAAAATATCAAGATACCTCATTACGCATACTGTTTTTGGTGTATTTTTAAATAGGGTTAATACCACGAAAAACCCTAAACTGGTACACTTGTGACACATTTACCCCAAACTATTTTTTTTACCATAAAAAACCCCAAACTGGTACACCTGTGACAATTTTACCCCAAACATATCACAAAAAACCCTAAACTGGTACACATGTGACAATTTTACCCTGAACTAATTTTTAATATTATTTTTTTGAATTTTTTCTTTTCTTTTTTTTTTCCTTCACCTTCAACCTCTGGGCGGTCGCCGGTCCGGGGACCGGCCAGAGGTAGAAGCCGGCGAGGGCAGCCCTCGCCAGATCCGTCAAGGGCAGCCCTCACCCGATACTGGCGAGGGCTGCCCTCGCCGAATCTGGCTAGGGCCGCCCGACGTTGGATCTGGCTAGGGCCGCCTGCCGCCAGATCTGGCGAGGGCAACCCTCGCCTGCGTCGGGCGAGGGTCGCCCTTGCCCTGGGCGGGCAAGGACGGCCCTCGTCGGCTTCCACCTCTGGCCAGTCGCCGGACCGGCGACCGGCCAGTGTTTGAAGATGAAAAAAAAAAGAAAAGAAAAGAATAAAAAATAAATAAAATTTCGAAAAAAATAAAAAATAATATTAAAATTTTAATTCATGGTAAAATTGTCACATATGTACCAGTTTGGAGTTTTTTGTGGTAAGTTCATGATAAAATTGTCACAGGTGTATCAGTTTGGGGTTTTTGGTAGTCAAAAAAATAGTTCAGGGTAAAATTGTCACAGGTGTACCAGTTTGGGGTTTTTTATGGTAAAAAAATTAGTTTGGGGTAAATGTGTCACAAGTGTTCCAGTTTAGGGTTTTCGTGGTATTAACCCTAGATTAAAATCATAACATATTATTTTATATTTTATTTATTTTCATTTTTTCACTGTGCATGTGCTCTTTTTTTGGTAATTTTCGAGAAATAGGCACCCCTTTAGTCTAGTTACACATTTGTTTTCTAGCCACGCCTTCGGTCCTTGGGGTTGTCAAAAAAATAGCTATTTCATGTAGATAAAATTACCTTCAATTTCTATATTTAAAATAGGGTTAATACCATGATAATCCAAACCAGTACACATATGGTAACTTTACCCTAAACTAATTTTTTGACTACCAAAAACGCCAAATTGATACACTGTGACAAATTTACCCTCCGATAGTTTCCTTTAAATTTTACTGTTAAATTGCTAAGTTAAATGACACGTGTCAGTTGACAAGTATACCAGTTTGGGATTTTACCCTCATTTGTCATAGGTGTACCAGTTTGTGATTTTTTGTGGTATTAATACAATTTAACAGAAACTAACGGAGGGTAAATTTGTCACAAATACACCACTTTGGCGTTTTTGGGGGTCAAACAATTAGTTTGGATAAATTTATCATAAATGTACTAGTTTAGGATTTTTGGTAATAAAAAAATTAGTTTAGAGTAAATTTGTTACATATGTACCAGTTTGGGATTTTCGTGATATTAACCCTTTAAAATATCACTTCATATTTTTAACAATTAATTGCATCTAATATATTAGGTCAAAAGTAGATTTTGTTTCACTTTTATCTTCCATATTAGCCCAACATAAGTGATGCTTTAGTCTTGTAATGGAATTTAGATTTAGGGAATAAGTGCAATAATAAGGCTCCATTCATTTCGCAGAAAATGTTTTCTTGTAAAACATTTTTCAGGTTTTCCGGTGTTCGGGAGACGGAAAATAAATTAATTGCATAAAACATTTTCCCTCAATGGACAAAACACCTTCAAAAGTGAGGACAATTTTTTCCACTTTTTGAAAAGAGGAAAACATTTTCCCCCTCCTTCTTTCATCATTCATTATAAGTATTTTTTTAAATTCTATTATTTTTTTAAATTATCTTTTTTATTTTTATTTTTATTTTTTCTTTATTTTTTTATTTTTCTTTATTCTTCTTCTTTCTCTTTTCTATCTTCTTCTTCGGCCGGTTGCCGACTACGGCAGTGGCCAGCGATCGGCCACAAGCGAGGCTTCGCCTCTATTGACACTTGATTTTTTGGTCAAATTTTCAATTTAACATAAAATCCGTAAAATTAGGATTAGGAACCTTCACCATGCTTAGCAACCTATTTCTAAACAAAAAATAATTTTTCTAGATTTTATTGTAATTTCTCCTTAATTAATTTTGGTTAAAATGAGAGGAAAATCAAAAAAATAACAAATGAAGTTAAAAAAATTTCCCAAAAATAGTCATTAGTCTCCTTTTAATTCCAATTTCAGTTTTGAAGCTTCAATTTTACAAAATTTCAATTAAAGATATGTTTTCCCCAAATTTGGGTAATTTGATATCCTAATTGAACCAAAAATCCAATTAAATCATTTCTAGGCATTTTTAGGCTATAGTGTCCTCACAAAAATTGATTTTGGATCTTTAATTTCATATTGGTCAGTCCAATTTCACAATTTGATGAAAAATATTTAAAAGCCCCAAATTTAATTGGAAATTAGGGATTTTAGGATCCGAATTGGGGATTTCATTCAATTTGAAACTTTTTATCAAAGTTTATACCTTTCTTAAGGGTAATCGACCATGGGAAATCCAATTTTGGCCTTAGATCAGCAAAATTAGGTCATTTAGAACTCCAATTGACTAAAAACCACTTCATCCGAATTCAAATTTGGGGTTTTTGAGCTTAATTGAGATAAAAATTCAAAATAATCCCATATATTCAAAGTAAAATGTGTCAAGGAATTGAAATTTGTGGTCAAAATTGTGAAAATAAGTCAAAATTGGGTTCAATTTGCAATTTTAAACCAACCTGGGTCTATTGGGTCGGTTGGATCGGACTTGACCCTATCCGGGTCAGCTTCTTCCTCACCCGACTCGGGGATGCGTAGGAAAGGGGAGAACATGCCGAGTTAGCCCCGCCAGTTCACCGATTTCTAATGGGCAATTAGACACGTGAAAAATAAAAATTGGATAGCTGGAGATCTCTAGCTGCTGACGCCGAGTCGTTACAATGGCCTACCGAGGCGGTTAGAGGCCAAGAATGGCCTGGGGAAGAGAACAAAAGGAGGCGGGAGAGAAGGTTTGAGGTAGAGAACCTATTTGAGAAAATTCCCAGGAGAGAGAGAGAGAGAGAACCAAAGAGAGAAAGTGAGAAAAAGGGATCAGGACAGGGTTGAGGTCCCCCAAGTTGAGTGACTGGTGCTATCCCAACGGGAAAAGCGTCAACAAATC